TATCGCACCTGTGGTACATGGACGACATGAAGCTCTTCGCCCGAAACGACAATAATCTGCTCTCCATGACCAATGTTGTGGAGTCAATGGGCGACTGCATTGGTATGCGTTTCGACCCGTCAAAGTCTAGCTGGCTCACTATGAAACGGAAGAGAGCCCAGAGCGATGAGCAGTCTGCTCTCCAGACACTCCAGGGTCACGCCATTGCTAAGCTGCAGGCGGAGGAGTCCTACAGGTACCTTGGTATCCCGGAATCAAGCACATTTTCACGCCACCGAATTGAAGACGACAGCAAAGTCTGAGTTCGGCCGCCGTCTTCAATTGATCTGCTCGTCTCAATTGAACGCCAGGAACTTGGTCAAAGCCATCAACACCTTTGCCATTCCAGTCATCCTCTACTCTCTGTGCATCGTTGAGTGGGCAAAGGCAGAGATAGAGGAACTCGACCGACAGACCCGCCAAGCACTGTTTAAAGCACACGCCCGCCACCCAAAGGACTCTGCCGCCAGGGTCCACCTGCCTCGTGACATGGGTGGTCGAGGAATTTTATCATTCCGGGATCTCCTGGATATAACCCGTGTCCGGGTGGCGCGGTACCTACAAGCCCACCCAAACGTGCCACTGTTGGCTGCTGTTAAGCGCCATCACGACAATGATGTGGCACCGTCAAAATCAGTTACACGTCAAGCCTCCAGACTTCTGGGTGAACTTGACCTACCCGACTTGGAGACTGCCACAAAAGTCATTGTCAAGAAGGCCGTTGCTCTCCGGTGCCTTGCCGTTATCCAAGGTAAGCCTCTCTATGACCAGTTCTGGAGACGAGCTTCTGATGCTGGCTTGGACCTGGGCTTGAGTTTTTGCTGGCTGAAATCGCCAACGATCAGGCCTGCGACAGAGGGACTCTTGCTGGCTGTACAGGATCAGGCCATTGCGACCAGGCACTATCAGGTCACGGTCATTGCATGGGGAGACGTTGTGGACATTTGTCGAGTTTGCGGCACTCGCGGAGAAACAGTTGATCACATTGTGGCCTGTTGCCTAGCCCTAGCCAAAACACTGAATATCGAACGGCATGACACGCTCGTCAAGTTGGTGCATTGGGCATTATGCAAGCGGCATGGTCTGGGTCGGCCGGGAAGCAACCCGCTGAAGCACCATATTGTGCCTGTCACGGAAAATCTTGACATGAAGCTCCTGTGGGAGTTCAATATCCCAACGGATACGCAAGTGCGCCACAACCGTCCAGACCTGGTGTTGCGGTCCAGCACACAGGTGCTGCTGATGGATGTCAGTGTTCCATTGGACCAGAATATGCCCACAAAAATCGCCGAAAAAATAACAAAGTACGCTCCCCTTTGCCAAGAGCTGCGGCGCATCTGGCATGTGGATGATGTGCGCGTTGTGCCCCTGGTTGTTGGGGCGCTTGGTGGACTGGCTGGTGTGTCCCTCTCACACTTTGTGTTGGCATTGGCAGGCACTCTGCACATTGAAAGGGCTCAGCAATGTGCTATCCTGGGCACGCTGAACATCGTCAAGTCGGTTCTTGGCATTCGGCATTAGGCTCCTCATGTTACGGGTAGAGCTAGTCCGTATAAACCTCCAATACCGCATTTGCTTTGACATCCATGAATGTGCAGTAATACGGTCCTCACAGCCTGATTTTTCTCTTGCCATTTGAGTTTGTCCGGCATTCATCTCTTCCTCTATTTCTACAGGTCTATTCCTGTACTGGTAGTCCATTTTTGTGATTACTCTTTTTGTATTCGAATATGTCCTGTCCTCCTCGATCTTTTTGTATTCGAATAGGTCCTGGCCTCCTCCATCGTTCTGCTTATTTCTGTCTGTCTCTCAGTTTCTGCGCCGGCTTTCAATATTAATTTTTGCTTTGGTTTTTACAATCCTTTTTGCTTCGGTCTTCATTGCGTTGGCCATTTATCTATTTTTTTTCTCTCATTACCCTTGGTCTCTTTTGGCCCGGTGATGGGGTTCTTACCTCATGTCATGACAACGTGAGTGAAATAAAGCCAACTCCATAATAATAATACTAGCAAGGGTCCCTGGTTCGAGTCCTGGTGGTGACAGTCAATTTTTTCTTCAGACTTTTCCCGTTTGTCTCTTTCCCTCAAACCAGTTAATATTTTATGACTTGGGGCTCCCCGCGTGCTAGTTTGTACGTGAAGTGTGTGGGTTACAGTGAGGGCTGCGTCCCACCCGCCTGTGTGGATTCACAGGAAGTGTGAGTTACGAAGTCTGAAGAAAACGTTGAACGGCCTCCGCTGGGATGACAACTACACCATAGCTCAGTGGTTAGAGCATCGCTGGCTACAAGCGAGGGTCCCTGGTTCGAGTCCTGGTGGTGACAGTCAATTTTTTCTTCAGACTTTTCCTGTTTGTCTCTTTCCCTCAGTTAATAATAATAATAATAATAATCAGAAAGATTTGCTCCCCACACCGGAGCTCGCGCTATTCCGCCGACTTTACTTGACACTTGACTGACTCACGATTGCCATCCAGAGCACACGAGAAGTCCATCGAACCTTCGACTCGGCAAACCTGTAAAAAAGCACCACTCCCTGCTCAATACACAGTGTTTCGGGGAATTCACCCCTCATCAGTTGAGCTTGAGTAGGCTGAGGAAGATTGTGCCTGAAGAGCACCACTTATATAGTGCTCTCCAGGCACAAACATCACCAGGGATACAAACTTACAGAGACGCTCCGCTTCCAGCGCGACAAACACCTCGTGAACACCAGATAGCAGCGTGAGTCAGTGTCGCTCCTGGACGGTGAGACAGACGTTGAGGACCCTCGGTCATTCGCAACGCTGTCACCTCCAAACCAACTAGTCGCAAGCCCGCGCTGGGCACAACAGTACGAAGTAGTGGTCGCGACTTCGGCGATGATTTGTCAGAAAGATTTGCTCCCCACACCGGAGCTCGCGCTATTCCGCCGACTTTACTTGACACTTGACTGACTCACGATTGCCATCCAGAGCACACGAGAAGTCCATCGAACCTTCGACTCGGCAAACCTGTAAGAAAGCACCACTCCCTGCTCAATACACAGTGTTTCGGGGAATTCACCCCTCATCAGTTGAGCTTGAGTAGGCTGAGGAAGTGGTGCTCTTCAGGCACAATCTTCCTCAGCCTACTCAAGCTCAACTGATGAGGGGTGAATTCCCCGAAACACTGTGTATTGAGCAGGGAGTGGTGCTTTCTTACAGGTTTGCCGAGTCGAAGGTTCGATGGACTTCTCGTGTGCTCTGGATGGCAATCGTGAGTCAGTCAAGTGTCAAGTAAAGTCGGCGGAATAGCGCGAGCTCCGGTGTGGGGAGCAAATCTTTCTGACAAATCATCGCCGAAGTCGCAACCACTACTTCTTAATAATAATAATAATAATAATAATAATAATACGAAGTAGTGGTTGCGACTTCGGCGATGATTTGTAAGAAAGGTGAGCCCGGCGAGCCCGGCGAGCTCCGGTGTGGGGAGCAAACCTTTCTTACAAATAATAATAATAATAATAATTGAACAAACGGCGAGGAGACAACAATTTGATAACCGCATTTGATAACCGCACAACAACCGGCCGTGGTGAAATGAGAGGAGTGAATGTACCACGATCCACATTGATTATGCATTCAGCAAACTCAGATTTCTTTCTGCGCTCGTGCTCTGCCAAAACGCAGCATAGGAAGGCGCATCAGGGTGAAATACTCGAACGTCCATGTAGGCGTTCTGGGCCCGGGTCCACAGCCCCCTCGCGCGAATGTCTGCCCGGGCATCATCCGCTGTATTCGTAGACGCGGCGACAAACACCTCACCAGAGAGTGGCGCGAGCGCTGGATCCACAGCAACATCCACACACACTTCAGTCAGCAAATCAGCCAGGATGTCTCGCACTTCGATATGCCGTATTGTCGGGAATCCTCCAGTCAGGCAGCTCATGGCATGGGCTGCACTAAATGGACGGCCACAGGAGCAGGTTAACGGGACATCCGCCAGTGCCCAGTCGTACCGCAGCGCAAAAGCATCTCGGAAATCTCCTTTCGAGAGGTGGTAATCATGGTCCCGCAGTGGCAGCGAGTTGAGCCAGCTGGACACCCCTCGGGACGCCAGGTGGCCAAGTAGACAAGCCCCATCAAGCGATGCAGCCTGCTCCACCAGTTTGAAGTCATTTTCACTTGATGCAGCTCGCTGCTTGCCGGTGCATCTTTTTGCGTTAAAAGCAGCCTCCCTTATGCATTCAGTCTTGCGTCTTTCCCAGGATGTGTTGCTCTGGCTGACTAGCTCAGCAACCTGAGCCTCTGTCATTTTCACTGACGCGCCACGTTCCGTCTGACTCATCCTCTGGAACGACAGGATTTCCAGACCAACCAACCGGGTGGGCAGTCTTAGCATGCGTAAGTCCTCCTCGGTGAAGGCAGCACGACCCGTCAGTGCTGGGAAAAACTCGAAAGCGATGATATTGTCTAAGCTCTTGATGCACTCATCCGGGAGGGGCACAGTGCGGAAAAGGTACACCCACCTACACCGTAAACCATAGGTTAGTGCTGCATAGGCAGCATGTGTTTCCGTCTTGGCAAACCGAGACAGCTTCCGCAACTCCCGCGACCAACTATCCACCCTCTTCCTCACCCAGACCAGCCACCGCCTCAGGCTCACAAACAAATGACCCGTCGTCCTGTGGTGTGCTGGAGTGTGATATTGTTAGGTACAAGTACATTATGTCATTTCTCTTAGCATGTTTCTTTTCTGTCATACTACTGAGAGTGTATGGCATGCTTATTCTATTACAGTTCTCGCTTCATTGAATTTTGCTGTGTTTGGGTAGGGTTCCAATTTTTTTCATCACATTCTTTTTTTCATGCAATGGTTTTCAGATCCTTGACTTGTGTTCTACTCCTCCTATAAAGGTTTGCCGCCTGGTATGTCAGCGGCCATCACTGAACCCAAATATGCGCAAATATGTTTAGTACCCTTTTCTCCTCTCCCTTTGTAGAGGCCTGGACAGGAATCAACTTACAAGTCTTCCTACAAATGTATTTGCTAACCTACCAAAGCTTGAGCAACTGTAAGTTAACCGTCATTCCGGGTTGTGGGGTCCAAAGGGTCCCCAGGGGTATGATTTTTGAAATATTTTTACTTTGCTGCATCACATCTCCTTGAAATTTCATGTATTCCTCAACAACACAATACCCTAGATAAGTACTCAGTCTGCAGACAGACCTCTTTCGTCTTTTGTGGACTCATGAGCGCAGCACAGAGGAAATAAGGCCAAACATGATGACAATGAAAAAATCCAAAACCCTATTTTAAGTAAACCAGGCCAAACGTACCCTGTCATAGTGCTTAAACTGACAAGTCAGTGAGCTCTGCATATCACAAGCGCCAAAAGCGCTACCCCACACATGAGTACTCAACTGCTAGAAGAGCAGTAGCGAAATCCTCAATCTGCGGAAAGACCTGTTTCGTCCGTTGTGGACTCATCAGCGTAGCACAGAGGAAATGAGGCCAAAACTGATGGCAATGAAAAATAAAATTGTCAAGGCCCTATTTAATCCAGGCCAGAACGTACCTTGCCAGAGTGCTCAACTGCTACAAGAGCAGGAGCAAAATACTCAATCTGCGGACAGACCTGTTCCAGACCTGTTTCGTCCTTTGTGGATTTATCAGAGCAGAACAGCTAAAATGAGGCCGAACCTGATAGCAATGAAAAATATATTTTGCAAAGCCCTATTTAGAGCCCTACTTAAACCAGGCCCGAACATACCTTGCCGGAGTGCTCAAACTGACAAGTCCGTGAGCTCTGCATAATGAAAACGGCATAACCGAGATCCATAATTAATTTGGGTTAGAGGTTAGTTTTGGTAATTATCTCCATGTTCACCGAACACATGAATGACATCCACTGACGTATGAGGCCCTGCAAGAAAATGTTCTCCTACAGGCATTATCCCTCATTCCATGTGGCCTTTTTTCCTATGCTCCCAGTATATTGGGGTCCTTTTGGACCCCAGGATCGTTTTGGCTGGTATTTTGCAACTTGCAAATTATCCCGGCAAACTTCAGAGCTGTCAACAAATGCAGATTGGTCAAAGCATTGGTCTATGGGAAGGTAACACAGCACAAAAGTTATATAAAATGGAGAGTTTGCAAGAATACCACCCAAAACGTTCCTGGATTGCAAAAAGACCCCAATAAACTGGTAACGTAGTAAAAAAATGTTAACATGGAATGAGGGTTTAACTACACTGCTAAGCTTGGACTCGAAATTTCTGAGAAAACAACAATGGAGGCGTGAATTGGTCCTCAAGCTGATTCTCTTTTGGTTTTCTGATCGCGTACAATGATGTTCATCATGCATTATTCTTATTTCGGAGACTCCAGTAAAACTCTTCAAATCTTGTTTTGGTGACTGATTGACTTTTATGCTGCACAATGTGTCCACAAACTCTTTTTTGTTTTAAATTGTCTTTCAAAGATTTACGCATTCATCAAGATTTCAATTTGGACTGCTATTCGACCACTCTCTAACCCTCTGACTCTCTGACCCAAGCAGGAGTTTAGCGAGATAAACATGAGTTAACCAGCAAATTGTTTCTGGTATCGTGATGTCCTTTTCATGGAATCACACATTTTGGCTTTTTTCATATCAGGCCACATTAGATGAAATGATTTGCCAAGCTGATCAATATGGTGGTAAAAAACACCTGGCAATATGGCAGTAAACCCACGCCACGCTCTCTGACCTGCAAAGTTCTGGCACAGAGCTCTCCTTCTCACCACCACCACCATCAGTTTGCACCTGGCGCCTGGTCGATGCATGGTTGGCGGTATCCGACATAGCAGGCTGGTACTTCGTAGCTCACACTTCCTGTGAATCCACACAGGCGGGTGGGACGCAGCCCTCACTGTACCCGCACACTTCACGTACACTCTAGCACGCGGAGCCCCAAGTCATAACATCTTCACTAGTTTGAGGGAAAGAGACAAACGGGAAAAGTCTGAAGAAAAAATTGACTGTCACCACCAGGACTCGAACCAGAGACCCTTGCTTGTAGCTAGCGATGCTCTAACCACTGAGCTATGGTGTAGTCGTCATCCGAGCAGAGACTGTTCAACATTTTCTTCAGACCTCGTAGCTCACACTTCCTGTGAATCCACAAAGGCGGGTGGGACGCAGCCCTAACTGTACCCACACACTTCAATAATAATAATAATAATAATTTAAAAACGAAGGTAAGTTTTGGGTCGCAAGTATCCACGCAACACACATCAAGTCAAAATAAAGCACTTGTCAAAAGTATCCGAACGTTTTCGGTCCCTTCTCATCAAGGATTATACAGGGAATGGCTCAAGTTGGAAAGACTAAAACTTATATAGCGTAAAGAAAATGAGATAACAACACTCGTGCCAAGGTGGAAAATTATCAAGTTCAGCACGACACAAAACTCGAAGGAAACTAATAATGAGGATGGATGGGTGTTGCGTGGATACTTACGACCCAAAACGTACCTTCGTTTTTAAAGTATTATCCGCCTCCGACCTCTTGTAAAAATTAAAAATAAGTAATAAAAATAATACAAAAAAAGTTGTTATCTACGCATGCATCTACGCAAGAGTCACCACCAGCCAATTAGGACATAATTCAAAGTATTGAACGTTTTCATTCCCTTCTTGTCAAAATACTACTATATTAACATGAAAACAAGTTTTACTAATGGTGTTTGTACTGAGTGCGCAGCTTACTCTATTCATTGGGTCAAGAGTACATAACCCCCCCCAGAGTGTGCAACGCCGATCCAGCTCTGCATAGGGTCTTGGTCGAGCGGAATCGGATCTTCTGATGTCATGCGTACACTCCACACCAGTGCAAGGCCGGTCTCGAGGCAGGGCACCATTGTTTTTGATCCAAGAGTACCCGCGACTCCCCGGGTTCCCCTCAGATTTGTACGGTATTATGACGCAAAGATCCGATTCCGCTCAACCAAGACTCTATGCAGAGCTGGATCCTCATTTTATCGCCTATGTTGAAGTGTTGACTTTTTCTCTATTTTTTCTATATAGTTATGTGTTTTTCCAAATTTCCAACATTCCCTGTACTATCCTGAAGAGAAGGGAAAGAAAACGTTTGATAGAAAGGAAGTGTCTACTGAATTGTGTGGATTTGCGTCGTTGCATGCAAATATTGTGTACGAAACTGTTTTTCCACCGCCTCCAAACTACTGTTTGAATAATAATAATAATGTAGAAGAGAAAAGGACATATGGATACGAGTTAAGAGTAACTCTCCATCACTGTAACATGATACTATATACAGTCAGAAAGTGCAATAACTAGGCACAAAACTGACAGAGTACTGAGACATTCGACCTCCTGACACCTAGCTTCAACACATCTCCGTAGCGCTAACCGACAGCCTTCCAACTTGGAAGGTTCAAGGTTATGGAAAGACCAAAGAGGGGAAGGCAATGCGCAACGAAAACGAGCAAAAGCTACAGTCCCAACAGAACAAAGAATGTCGATTGTTACTGGACGATGACGAGACCAGTACGATATTTGACAAAGCGGTCTAACTACAATTCGAAGCAGCAAAGCAGCACACCACCCAACTTGGGTGGGTCATAAATATCAAAGATAAGTAAAGAAAGGGAAGCTTTGCGAAAACGAATTGTACAAGCCGAAAGTCAAACTCCTACAGTACTCCTCTCGTCATCGTCCAGTAACAATCGACATTCTTTGTTCCGTTGGGACTGTAGCTTTTGCTCGTTTTCGTTGCGCTTGCCTTCCCCTCTTTGGTCTTTCCATAACCTTGAACCTTCCAAGTTGGAAGGCTGTCGGTTAGCGCTACGGATATGTGTTGAAGCTAGGTGTCAGGACTTCGAATGTTTCAGTACTCTGTCAGTTTTGTGCCTAGTTATTGCACTTTCTGACTGTATATAGTATCATGTTACAGTGATGGAGAGTTACTCTTAACTCGTATCCATATGTCCTTTTCTCTTCTACATTTATTTATGGCTCAACATCCGAGTTTCAAATAATAATAATAATAATAATAATTTGGAAAGGATTGGGAGAACTTCAAATTCAAAATATCAGTCGGGGAAGTGAACTGCCTGAAAAGAGAAAAAAACGCCAGACCCACCAGGACTCGAACCTGGGACCCTGCTTGTCATGAGCAATGCTCTAACCACTGAGCTATGGGACCAGGCTGAACCTTTGGAGTGAAAAACTTGTCAGCGCCTTCTAGGTTCAGCCTGGTCCCATAGCTCAGTGGTTAGAGCATTGCTCATGACAAGCAGGGTCCCAGGTTCGAGTCCTGGTGGGTCTGGCGTTTTTTTCTCTTTTCAGGCAGTTCACTTCCCCGACTGATACTTTGAATAATAATAATAATAATATGAAACTCGGATGTTGAGCCATAAATAAATGTAGAAGAGAAAAGGACATATGGATACGAGTTAAGAGTGACTCTCCATCACTGTAACATGATACTTTATACAGTCAGAAAGTGCAAAAACTAGGCACAAAACTGACAGAGTACTGAAACATTCCACGTCCTGACACCTAGCTTCAACACATCTCCGTAGCGCTAACCGACAGCCTTCCAACTTGGAAGGTTCAAGGTTATGGAAAGACCAAAGAGGGGAAGGCAAGCGCAACGAAAACGAGTTTTGTGCCTAGTTATTGCACTTTCTGACTGTATAAAGTATCATGTTACAGTGATGGAGAGTTACTCTTAACTCGTATCCATATGTCCTTTTTCTCTTCTACATTTATTTATGGCTCAACATCCGAGTTTCATATTGCACACCTGATGAGCCGTCACGAACCATACGGCGAAACGTACGTCGTGTGAAACAACTTGTTTTGTAGTCAACTAGTCCATCACAATGTCATGCATGAGGAGTACTGTAGGAGTTTGGCTTTCGGCTTGTACAATTCGTTTTCGCAAAGCTTCCCTTTCTTTACTTATCTTTGATATTTATGACCCACCCAAGTTGGGTGGTGTGCTGCTTTGCTGCTTCGAATTGTAGTTAGACCGCTT